GGTGGAGGAGTGGTTGTAAACAAGCTCTCCACTGCCCTGGGAAGCCACGGGGAACAGGCATGACTGCAGTGGAAAGGGGAGCACAAAGACACTTATTGGTGAGGGCTCCCCAGAGCTCAGTGCAGCAGGGATGGGAGCTGGGCAACAGAAAGAAAGCAAGAAAAAGAAAAGAAAGAAAAGAATCATTTTCAGAGCAGACTTCTGCTGTTTGCACAGCACACCCTTGGGGAACCACTGGTCTACAGGCTCCTAGAAAAGACTAAGCAAGCTAAATCCTTGCGTCTTTAACCCTTCAAGAAATGGGATCAATGTTACAATGGTTTTAGTATGCCTACACCACTATTCGAATAGGCAGATGTTAACAATTACATTGTAATAGTATATATCAATACTTCTGGATACCTGTATAATTGTTATGTCTGTCTATACTTTTAGGCACCTAAGTCCAAAAGAGACTTTTAGACTGTAGAGCTAACTTGCAGCTGAAAGGAAGCAGCTAAACCCTGGAAAAAGGCAGAATTTTAGACAGGTGCCTCTATTTAGTATTCATATTAGCTTTTCAGCATGCTGTCTGTGTAAAACCTATCCTGAGGTGCCTAACCCTCTCCATTCATAAGTATAGAGGAGTGTCCTAATCATCTGACCCCATGGGCCAGACAAGTGGCAAGGGGCTGGTTTGTGTACTGGATTCAGCGCATGCCTCAGTCATAGCCCACGCACCACCTACAGCACTCCCCAGTCCCGGCATGTGGCGTGCTGGTCCAGTTCAAGAACCACAGGCAACACCACAGGTTGGATTTGGCCCATGGGCCCCATATTTTTGACATACCTGATACACTTTCACACTTCACTCAGGGCTGTGATTTTTCAGTGGGGTCCAGGCTCTTAAAAAGTAGGGCAAGCCTCTCAATGCTAAAGTTTTTCTGTAACTAGCCACTAACAGGGGTCCTAAAAAGATGACAGTAAAATGGTATTTTTCTTCCCTCCTCAAGGCCATTTAAAAAGCTACTTAGATCTAAAGCTGTAACAGCGATATTGAGAACTCTCACCAAAAGAAGTTGTGTCTAGATTTCCTAAAACATTAAGCATATTTCTGATTTGGAAATTTTGCATCAAATAAGCTTGAAATCAGTTAGAAAAGATAGTCTATTGATTCTTGTTTTTATACTATGTACTAACATTTTATACCCATTTCATTCAAAACACCAAAACAAGAGTTTCTCTTTATTATCTCTATATATAGATTCTCTCTTTAAAAACTTTTAAAACCTTCAAGGATCATGCATTTAAAACAGTAGAAACATTTTGGTTGCCTCTCTCATACAAAAGGAAATATAATAAATATCCCAAGAGCTCGAATTGTAAGTTACAAGAAAAAAATGTCACCACTCCATGTATAATGGGATTGTACGTGGGGGGTGAAGGAATCTGGAATACAATGTGCGCCTAGTCTTGAGGAGAATGTTGTTTTCTCTCAAACATTTTCAGCACGGGTTGTTAAAATAGCAGCAAACAAATTAAACAACATCTAATTAAATCTAACATGGCTATTTTGACAACTTGATCTGAAGTTTGTCTTGAATTTTCAAAGCACAATCTTAATTTCATACATTCAAGTAGCATGGAAAAAATCAATTAGATAAATTCACAGAATGCAAATGGACAAACCTACTTAATTTTATGTATGTGAGTTATTTCTTATAATGCACACAGCATAAGCTGCATGTCCTTAAGATAAAAACCTGCTTGTTTTCTCTTCCCATGCACCTTCTATTTCCACCTGATACCTTCCAGAAACCCTATAATTTTTCCCCCCAATTCCAGTGGCAAAACATCCTGAAATTATTCATATCTTAACATAGAAGAATGGAAAAAAATTCTGCTGTGGACAGAAGACCTTCTTCCATTGATAGATTTTTAGTCCACTAACATTTTATAAACAACATCTGGATTTTATACTTTTGTTATATTTAAAGAAGAAAGAGAGAAAAGATAATACAGCTGCTATTTAGATTTCTCCAGTGCATAAAGCTAGAAACTATGGAGTAACTGTTTCCTTCAGAAAATCTATGAAAGTTAATTTAAGTAAAAGATTAAAAAAGGCTTGCTAGATGTAGACAAAGGAGTTAATTAAAGGGCATTTAACTTCCTAAAATCCTTCTTAAGGACAATATGCGGTTAACAGCTAAGTCCAAAAATATCCACTGAAAAGCATGGGTATTAATGCACCAGATGACCATCAACACCCTCGTATGTAACGCATGAGTTGAAAGTCTGTTCAGCAATATCAAAAGAAAATGTCAACACTACAGTCTGGAGACACTGATACTGCAATTAAGTAAAACAAAAACAAAAACAAGCATTTGCTGATGCCTGTGAAATGATAACTAAAGACGCTACCTCCCTTTCATTGACCAGACAAGGAAAATCATCTTTGCTTTGTCAATCGGTTGCAAATGCAGCCTTCCCTAAGAGCCTGCAACACACCACCCTGCTACCTACACTATGTCATCATCAGCCATGCATAAGCTTTTGGCATCAACAGCCTACTTTGTCAGATGCTACAAAGCATCTTTCATAGCACCTGATGAAGTAGGCTGTTGTCGCCAGATGCTTATGCCCATCTGAATGAGTTAATTTCTCTAATCCCTGCCCTGCCTTCTGCCTGACAACACTCAAGCGGCTAGATCCCCCCCTATGCATTGCCAACATCACCTCTGCAGGTGGTAGTAACTGCTCACCCCCAGCAGAAAGGGCGATGGCCCCAGCTGGTTTCTAGGGAGATACCTGTAAACCTAGACTTAACGTTTTGTTGCACAAGAACAGAAGTGCCACACAGGGTCAGAGCAGTGGTCCATCTAGCCCAGCATCCCTGTCTGACAGCTGTAGGAGCAGCGGGGACCACAAATCAGCCTCAAACCCCACTCTGATCTCCTTCCCCTGCCAATCTGGCTGCTCTGCTTCTGGCTGCCAGCTCTGTCCTCCTCCCTCTGACCTGCTCCGGGTCCTGCATTTGTTTCCGGAGCACAGGTTGTAGCTGTGGTGGTCAAAGGACATAGGCAGACAAAGTTCTTTCAGTATCTTTTATTAGACTGCCTAAAATAGCTGGAAAAATTCTTCTTTGCAAGCTTTCAGGTACAAATACCCTTTGTCAGGCTGAGGAAGCATCTGCACTTGGTCACTGCTCTTCCTGGATGGGATAGAAAAGAAGCCAGAGGCCACTGGCTGCCTCAGTTTGCATTTTCATCCACTGGCTCTCTCACACGCATACTGGCCTCCTGCACAGACCAACTGCAGATGCTTCCTCAGCCTGACGAAGGGTAAAATTTATGCCTGGAAGTTTGCAAAGCAGAATCTTCCCAACCATTTTACTTGGTCTAATGAAAGATAATGGATTTACCCAAAGAACCTTGCCTCCTGCCTGTGCCGCACCCTGGTGAGGAAGCATGCAGAGGGGGCGTGCGCAGGGTGTAACCACCCCCTGCCCCAGCCCCTCCCTGGCATCCACGAGCATTGGCTCAGAGGTGCCTGAGGGCCAAATTTGGACGGACACACACACACCCACTCCGCAGGCCGAAAGGCAGGAAGAGGAGGCAGGGAGCGGGGGAAGCCGCACACCCCTCCCTCCCTGCGCAAGGGAAGACAAAGCCCGGCCTGCAGCTGGGGCTGGAGCCGATCCTCAGGCGGCCGCGGACCCATGTTACCCCGGGGGAAGGGCTGTGTGTCCGCGCTGGGAGCAGGGGGAGGGGACGCAGCGCCAGCCACACCTACCCGCCTTCTCGTGGTCATAGCCCACCACGATGAAGTAGTCGGCCAGCCGGGCCATGGCT